GACACGAAAATTTATATGAAAGTACCCGAAGGACTTACATTGACTGGATCAAATATTTCCAAACCCCGGAACACGCTCTCAATTTGGTTGAGGCGTTCACTCTATAGTTTGAAGCAAGGTTCTAAAAGACGTTAGGTGTTAGTCAGACGGTGGGCTGGAGCCTAGCCGCCTAGGCGGACTAAACGAATTTAAGTAAATCCATTATATTTCGTGTAAATAAGTGTATGTTTATACTTAAAATATATATAATTTCATCATAAACTACAAAATAAAATGACATATGTATTATGAAGTATTGGAACATAATGAAAATATCAGGCTAAATTGACACATTCTGACCCAAAACGTGTCAGTTGGGTATCAGAGCATGGTTGTAGTTGGTCCCATTTTCATCACAGACATGATGTTGAGCACTAATCTTTCTTGAAATCTCTGATGCCACGTAAGTCTTCGACGTGGCCGCAGACTGATTTCAATTCGAAGTTATAACAAACAAGTTAAGTTCGAAATTGTGTAAAAATACCCCAGACAAATTCAAAGCCTGGCTCTGATACTAAACTGACACATCCCAACCTAGAATGTCTACGTGTCTATTTGAATCGTGATGTGTTAGCCGACACCTAGAGAACAAGCTTATAGTGTGCTCATTTAAGTATTCAACAATCTCTTACAATTTATTGAAAAAAAATGAAATACAAAATGAAAGTTATCTAGGCAGGCGCCTAAGTGGGTCTGGGCGGGTGCCTAGGCTATCTAGGCAGGCGCCTCAGCTGGTTTAGGAGCCCTTTCTTAATTTTCAAATGCCTAGACATTAATCGGGACGGTGGCTAGCCACCTAGCGCCTAGGCGGCGTTAGGCAAGGATTTTTAGAACAATTGTTTGAAGCAATCTGAAAGAATGTGGTATAACTGTTTGAGTGAGTATTTGACTAGTCATGGATATGTGAACAACGAACTATACCCTTGCGTGTTCATTAAGAAGTGTCATTCCGGTTTTGCGATTGTTGCAGTTTATGTCAACGACATGAACCTCATCAGAACTCCTGAAAAGCTCTAGAGAACTGTCGCACCTTAAGTCAAAATTTGAGATGTAAGATCTAGGATATACCTGATATTGTCTTGGTCTTAAGATAAAGCACTGTTCGAATGGAATCTTAGTACATTAATCAAACTATAACCAAAATGTGTTGTGTGGCTTTAACGAGGATAAAGTAAAGCCTCCGAGTACTCTTATGGTCGTTCAATCGCTAGATACAAAGCAAGATCCCTTTTGTCCAAAGGAGGATGATAAAAATATTTTGAAGCCCAAAGTTCCTTATAAAAGTATGATAGGCGCTTTATGGTACTTAGCTCAATGCATTATACCCGACATCTCCTTCGATGTCAATCTTTTGGCAACAGTAATGCACCGATACATAGACACTAAATTGGTGTTAAAGACATATTTTGTTACCTTAAGCGTACTACAGATCTATGCTTGTTCTATCCCTATGGATCCTCGAGTGATGCCACACCCCTTTATCTCAAGTTGATTCTCGCCTTGTTGGTTATGTTAACGCAGGATACTTATATTGAACAACTCAAGAAGGGTTACATCAAAGGACACAACACCAAGGACATTGGGCCGAAGTTCTTCTTCTAACATCAACAACAAGAGCATCAGAAGATAGAAGTCGTGCAAATCCGTTTACAAGACAATCTAGCTTACATCTTCACCAAATCACTACCAAATGCGACGTTTCAGAAGTTGGTTCAAGGAATAGGTATATGTAAACTTTCTGAGTTGTAACATTGTTAGTTCCCTTTGGAATTATGTCAAACTCATGAGGAGTATCCTAAAGTATACTTGCTTAATTAAGATGTACTCTTTTTCCCTACGATTAGGAGCATTTTTCCCTTTGGGCTTTTGCTACCTAACAAGGTTTTGATGAGGCACCCACCTTATGTTGATCATATTCCTAATGACGTCCCATAGACGTTTCATTTAACTTTGCATTTCTCACGCATTTTTCCTTAGACTATGGATTTTTTCGTACTTGGGTTTTACCATAGCCATAGGGTTTTTTGTGAGACATAGTTCCATATGCAAGTTCCTACTTTACTTTAAGACTAGTGTGTTCCCATAATCAGAGCCGACGTATCGACCTCCTCAACTCTACATGATGCCGAATCTACTTTAGTATTTACACAATCAAGGAGGAGTGTTATAGTCTTTGTATTTAAGTGTAATTGTGTAAATCCTAAATTAAATTTGATTCTAGTTATTATCCCTATTATGACTTATATTCCTTGGAAGATAAGGATTATTCCCCCTTATTACTATAATAAAAGCACTGCGTAGGGAGAATAACACATCTTATACATAACCTTACAAACACATTTCTCTCCCTACTCTCTCTCTCTGTCGTGCACTCTCTTTCTCTCCCTATTAGATAAAATAAGCCACAACAATTTTATTCAATTTTTCGTGAGTGTAATAACATCATTTTCTCGCCCATAAGCACTTAACATTTCATATAAGTTGTGAATTTAACATCTAATTTACCCTCCAAAATTAACTCCATGCACTATTTCTTTATGCAAAATTACCAATCTACCTTTCAATGTGTATCACATGAAAGTAATATGACTTAAATTGACGGAAAAATGAATATAGCATCTTCTAATATAAGATTAGGGATGTGATTGACATATTTTTATAATTCAAGAATGAATTTTTCTGAAAAAAATAGTTTAAAACCTAATTTTTACTCATGTGATAATACAATGACTAAATTAGCAATTTCTCCAAGAATGAATGATGACCACAAAGATGGATGTATTGAATTTGACGATTTCAAACTTCCTTTCTCAATAAAATTCTGGACAGATTTTATCAATAAAGTCTGCTCAAATTTTTTCCCTAATCATCTCAACGCAAATATAGTAAACCTTGTTAAGAGAAAGATATTAGATAATCATCCACCAGATTTTTCAAAAGAGTGGTTTTTTTGTACTCAAATTTTGTTTTTGGACATCTTTGTTTTTTATGTACACCCAATTTAATCTTTAAGATTAAAGAGAATTTTGACGAAAATCTCTGCTACTGTTCACTTTAACGAAAAACCATATTTTTACACTAAAAAATCAATTCTAGTACTATTCACTTTACTCTTTATTTTGTTCTTATCGTTAAAACTCAAAGTTTTCAAGTCATCTTCATTAGTTTTTCTTGAGAGACCCAAAAATTTCAAAGAACACCCTTATTTTACTTTTCGTGGATCTCTCTTTCTCCTCGTATCCACACACCATTCTTCCTTTTAACAACTAAATACCATTATTGTTGAAGCCCGGTTTATGATTGCTCAAATTTAAAAAAAAATAGCTTCTTAAAAAAGTTGGGGTCTTAATTGTATTTGGTAAATAAATAAAAAAGTTTCTTTTTTCAAAATCAAGAGTCCTTAATAACAGAAGTAGAAGCAACTCTACACATGTTTCTTGTAAAAACGTTGTTTTCATTGGTGGCAAGTGAACAATATCAGTTAATAAAACTTTCATAATGACAATCCTACCCCCATCCTTTTGTTTTGCTAAAAGCACTTTTAGCACTATAGTTTATCAAACACTTATCATCTTTTCTTTATTTTTTGGAATCTGCTATCTACACACCCTTTTTTACTTCATACACACCCTCTTAATGTGCGGCCATCGGATCAATTGAATTAAAAAAGATCAAATGGCAGAAATTAACAAATGATGTGTGAGAAGTAAAAAATGGTGTGTTAATAGCACACCCTTTTTTTTTCTTTTTTTAACTTACAACTGTTTATTTAGCACACCCCTATTTTTTTTTTCTTTTTTTAACTTACAACTGTTTATTCTTGAAACACATCAAAAACAATTTTTTTTTTTTTTTTTTTTTTTTTAAAACACACCAATCCAAGACTTGCCCTCAATCCCTTCCCGACTCATACGCAACATGTGGTTTTTACAAACTTTCATCTTTTTCTATATTTAATCTTCTAGGTCTGTAAACATTTATGCATTAGGACAAAAAATTGATGGGTTTGGTGTGATTTTTTGAATATTTTTCTGGAAAATGATGAAACTGATACTGGAAAATGAATCTCTCAAGAAAGTAGTTCCAAGATTCCATTATCAACGACATCAACTCTTCGTTTTTGTATCTCGTTTCTTGACCAAGACATTTCTCTACACGTACAGCAGCAGCAATTCGACGTCGACTGTCAAATTTCCCAAAATGTACATACCAAATTACAGAACATAGGAATTTGACGGATTTGGACCAATTTTGTGTTTGATTATTTGATGGGTTGCGTTTGTTTTTTTATTTATTTATGTTGTGGATGGAGAATGTGAGATTGGTGGTGGAGGAGAAAAGGACGCGGCATGTGCGATGGATAATGGAGGCGATTAATGAGTTGGGTCGTTATTAGGTCATAAAACTGTTAATAGTTCAGGCCGTTATTGGATTACATGTTAAGAATCGTTAAGATAAAGAGTATAACACGAACAAAAAACATTAGACATGACAATTTCTTACATGATCTAATAAACCAACATGAAACGATACGACTGAAAACGATTCAGGATTGTTATAGGGTCACCTGTTAAGATAACGAGTATGACACGAAAACAATACAAACACAACAAACACGACCTATTTGTCAGGTCTAGCTGAGGGCCAAAGAGGAAGAGACTAAAAAAGTCGGCAACCAATGAAAATAATTATTTTTCTTAATAAATCACTAAGTCTTTTGTGGTAATTTTATATATGGATATGGAAGACTCTTTATTAATAAAAACTTGGGTAGAGAAAGAAACACTATTCTCAAAGTCATAAAGTTTAGTGCTTGGACCCGGCCCATTATTTAAAACAAGGGCCATTAAAACCAGCCCAAATCCGCATTAAATTACAATTCCCGCTTGGTTTTTAAAATCCCGCCGCTTCGCCCAAACGTCTCTCTTTTCTTTTCTTTTTAAGCGAAAAAAAGAAATTAAAAGAAAAAAAAAATGTAAAAACTCACATTTTCTCTGAGACTTTCACATTGTCTCACCCATCGGTTTCAGGAGAGAGAGGTTAGTAAAGTGGGAAAATGCAGGTGGAGAATTGTAGGGTTAGGGTTTCGATTAAGCTTACTGATTCACGCCATGGATTCACCTGAAATTCCCAAAATCATAGCCAGCACATCACCTTCCTCAGATTCTCCTCCAGTTCAAGTAAATTTACTTTTCCTCAATTTTCAATGCCAATTTTCAATATTTCTGTTTTTGATTAAGGATTTTTTACTTGGCTTATTTGTGCTAATTTGTAATCTGTAGGTAGATCTTTACAACTATTTTTACTTCCCTTTTTGTTGTGATTTTTTAATTAATTATTTTCTGTTTTTGTGAAACGGGTGATGTGTCGATGCGGGTTTTGTTTAACTTTTGAGGGTTGAGATTGGTGGCATTGGTGCTTTGTAGGGGAAGGTCAAAGTTAGGGTTTTGGACTTTTGGAATTTGAGGGTTTAGTGGTGGAGAAGTTGAATTTGTGATTCTGTGATGTCTCTCAATGTGCAACGCAATCGGGTTTCTGTGAGTAATCAATGATTAAATGTAGATGCAAGGCGTTTGTAGTTTGTCATTTCTGTTCCTGAAATGAGCATTAGCTATGTTGATAGGAAAATCTAATCTTTTATTCATATATGTTTTCTTCGATTCAGGAGTCACCAGTTTTCAGTTACATTAGCAATCTATCACCAATACAGCCTGTGAAGGCTTCACATGCAGCGCAAGGGTTCCCGGGACTTAGCTCTCCTCCTCTTGTGTTCACGTCACCACGCATAAATACACTCCGGGAAACAAGTTTCTTGAAAAGGTCTGTTATACATTGAATTCTAGCTCCAAATGATTTTTTTCTTGGGTCGTCTCTGTTGTTCTTGTATTTGCTCACTTGACAGTTTCATGATTTTCATCAGGCCTCAATACCCACAATTATCCAGTGCAGAAAAACCTAAAGCACAAGATGAAGCCAAGAAATTTGTTGATGGTCCAGTTGATTCCAAGAAACATATTACCCAACTGCAGATGGGATCGATTACTGATTCTCAGGACTGTGAGACCAACAGTTCCTCAGAGGGTGTTGATGAATACTTAGCCGATCCCATGGAGATGGACTGTACGAATTCTGCTCAATCAGTCAATCCATGTTTGAAAGAATCTAAAATTTCCTATAAATCTGAGGCACCATCAGAGCAGGCTACAGAGGACCTTCAAGGAAAGCAAACATTTGATGCAAAACCTGTCAAAATTAAAGAGCTTAGTCATGGTGCGTTGCCATCTTCCGAGCGCCCAAAGGTTGGATCCGGAATATCTGTCGATAATGCTTTCAATGGAGAGTATCACCATGGTTTGCATAATCAGGTAACTTCAGATTGTTGGCTTTACATTATAAAAGAAAAGAACTAGGACATTTGTTTACAAAGGATGTGATTGTTGGACACGTTCTTACACTTTATCCAACTTTTAAGTCACAGGGCTTCGGAGGTCAACACCAGGATGATTGTGATCATAGCCCTCAATCTCCTCCTGGACGTTTGCAGATTGGTCAGGTGTATGAGGATTGTACAGAGAACGTCGGTGGAACCTCTAAGGGAATAATCGGGAACATGATATTGCATGCTCCTAATAAGGTATGCCATATCATCTGAGTTTTTTGTTACTGTATCCTGCTAGAATATATTTAATTTCCTTGCATAATAACTGCAAGATTATTGTAGGTCAAAAATGACCAAGGTGGCATGCATAGACGTTGTCTTCAGTTTGAAGAGGCTCCTCCTTGTGCCACTGGAAAAAGAGACAGTTCTTCTATAGAGAAAGTTAACGATTCAGAACCACCTGCCAGCACTGCAGAATTGGAGATTGTGAAAGTATCTTATGCAGCAACTTCCAAGAGACAGATGGGTGCCTCATTGCCACCTCTGTATGGTGGAAGCTCTCCTTTAACTGTGCCCAAACCATCAGGTATTGGCTTGCACCTAAACAGCATAGTCAATGCTGTACCCTTTGTTCGTGGTGCAACAACAAGCATAAAATTAGCAGATCACGACATTGGTTTGCAAGTTATGAAATCATCAGCTGTTGTGAGCCACCATTTATCGGAGAATGTGAGGGATGACACTGAAACTTCTTCAATTGCTGCAAGTTCCTCCATCACCCAGTCTCCCCACACTGTGGAATTTGAGCATCTTGGATCTCCCCTTGAGGAGAGGAAATCTGATTCTCAGAATGTTGACAGTTATAAGGAGTTGAACCAATCTAGTTCACAAAAGAAAAGGTCAGAGGCATGGTCTTTCATGTAGTGTGGTAGGATTCATTCATCATATTGGTTTGCAGTTTACATGTGTGTTTGTGTATGACCCTCCAGGAAAAGAACACCAAGCTCTAAAGATAGTGATGGGTGCAAGCGGTGCAACTGTAAGAAGACCAAGTGCTTGAAACTGTAAGTGTTCTACTTTTGGTATGATATTATGAGTGCATATTTGTTTGTCACATTTCAATACATTTCTTCGCAGTTATTGCGATTGTTTTGCTGCTGGAGTTTATTGTGCCGAAACTTGTGCTTGCCAAGGATGCTTTAATATACCCGATTATGAAGATACAGTTCTTGAGACGAGGCAACAAATTGAAGCCCGTAATCCACTTGCATTTGCCCCCAAGATTGTACAGCTTGTGAGTTTCCAACAAAATTCTGGTACTAAACCCTTTTCAACTTGGTGAATTTGATGATTGTATTTGCTTGTGACAGGAAGAAGAAATTCAGTTTACACCAGCCTCGGCAAGACACAAAAGGGGGTGCAATTGCAAAAAGTCAATGTGTCTGAAAAAATATTGTGAATGCTATCAGGTCTCGAATACTTATCTATATTTCCATGTCACAGTGTTTGTTATCTTTTCCTTTTCAATTCATCCTAAATGTCACTTCATCTTAAAGGCCAATGTTGGATGCTCCAGTGGATGTCGCTGTGATGGATGTAAAAATGTTTATGGCAGGAAGGGAGGTAAAGCTCTAAACCAAGAAATTGCGTTCCCACATCCATGTGATAACATTTGTAGCTTTACTCATTGTACTATGGATAACAAAGAATATCCCGTTCATATTTACAGAATTATAACATATAGTCTAGTATGTTGTGTTGTCTACTTGTTGGAACGTGATTTGACATGATCAATGGTCTTGATAGACAATCCAGAAACAGAATGCAGAAAACGTTCTGACAAATAGAGCGTTAGAATATTACATATTATATTATATCTTACTTTTATCTAAGCATAATGCCTAAAAGAATGGGCTTGTGAAAGTAAACTACAAACAATTGTTGGGTGCTTTGCTGAAAGATATCTGGAAGAACTTCACATAAATATTTGTGCTAGAAAAATTTATCAGTTAAATCTCTATTTGTCTTATTATGTACTTCAATCTCATTTTTTAGATTATGGTCCAATAGATCATGGTGTGACTAAAGACATGATTAGTGACAAAGCCGGCAAGGAAACATTTGATGAGAAGCTGGAAATGGTGGCAACAAAGAAAGATGCTTTGTCTACTGAGTTGTATGATTCACACAACCACACTCCATTGACGCCATCATTTCAGTGCTCAGAGTAAGAATCATTGATTTTGAAGTACCAGTTATCCTGAAATTCTAAATCATTATGTGATCCTAGTTAATTTTGATTATTTATTTTCTTGTTTCTCTAGTCCTGCAGATAATGTACCAAAATCCCCTTGCCTTCTTACAAGTTACCTTCGATCACCTGAATCTGATCTTACCGTCATATCATCTTATGAAAAATCAACAAGATCCTCTCTGAGAAATTCAGAGACCAGTGGGATTCTTCTGGAGACAAGTAAAGAATTATCAGGTATGGGTTATTACTGCTGGCAGGAGGACTATGACAACATTGGAATAGCAGACACTTTTTCACCAAGATACGACGCTGCCCCCATTATATGCCATATTACTCCATTATCAGATCTTTGCTCAAAGGCCTCAGCTTCTTCCACATCATCAAGAAGTGATTGGAAAAATGCTTCACAAGTTCAGCTATGCCCTGAAAGTCAAGGTCTGTCATCCAATAGTTCTCTTCGTTGGTGTAGTTCACCACTCACCCCAATGACTCGGTTAGGTGGGACGGAATGTTCTCAAGGTCTGGACTTTGACCATGGGCTTTCTGACATTATGCAAGAAGAAATGCCTGAGATACTTAAGGACATTTCTGCTACCAATAAGTCGGTGAAAGTAAGTTCCCCCAATAAGAAACGGGTTTCTCCACCCCACAACCACAATCATGAGCTTGGTGCAAGCTCTTCAGGGAGCTTGAGAAGTGGCCGCAAGTTCATATTGAAGGCTGTCCCTTCGTTCCCACCCCTTACCCCTTGTAGCAGTTCCAAAGGTAGTAATACCATTCAGAGCACCGGTAATCTTCACGATAAGGGTAGGAAGAAATGATTGACAGTGACACTGATGGAGTCCACAGTGAGTCCTCGTCATTCTACATCTTGCTATTCATATTATACTTCTGAAGTCGTCATCAAAATGCTTACCTTTACATGTTTCTTGTTTCAGTTTTTACTCCGGGGTGTCACTGTGGTAACTTCTCGCAATTGGAAGCAGAAGACGTTTGTATACAGTTATGTAGGTTAAATTATTGTTAGGTTCGAATGCAGAAATATCTTCAGATATCTTATATATTCCCCTCCCCCCTATCTTTGTGATGAGCGAATTCAATTTGGTATGTAAGTGTACCAAGAGGCTGCATTTCTCAAGGTTATTGCAGAAATTGGAAACACAACGTTGTCATCTTGTTTCTCATGATCTTAGTTTTCATTTATTTGTTGTTAAAATTTTATTCCTCCATGGTTGGAGGCAATGACTGATTTGTTCCAATTCTTGGTAATTTATGTTTTCCTTTTTTATTTGTTGTAATTTCGAAAAATAAGTTTGAGACGATCTTATGGAATAATTTATACAATAAATATGATGTTGTAATTCTTAGACCTGGTAATTTCTTACACGACCCTTTAACACAATACGAAAATAATAAGTTTCGGATTAACACGATAACTAATTGGGTCATTATTGGGTCATACGATAATAACGGGTTTTTAATAGGTTTACACGAGTGTGACATACGGATAATCTGTTTCGACACGATAAGAAAAAAAATTATTTTGATGATTTTAATTTTTTTAAATTACTAAAAAAAACTTACTATAAAATACAATATGTCACATCCCGGGCTCGACTTTGTTGTAGCACGATATTGTCCGCTTTGGGCCCTGACCACGCCCTCACGGTTTTGTTTAAGAGAACTCACATGAGAACTTCCCAATAGGTCACCCATCATGGGATTGCTCTTGCACGAACTCGCTTAACTTCGGAGTTCCAATAGAACTCGAAGCCAATGAGCTCCCAAAATGTCTCATGCTAGGTAGAGATGAGAATTTACATATAAGACTTACAGGATCTACTCCCCTAGGAGATGTGAGATGTTACAATCCACCCTCATTAGGGGCCCGACGTTACCAAATTGTCACATCCCTGCCCGGGCCCTCACATCTCGGGCTCGACTCTGCCGTAACACGATATTGTCCGCTTTGGGCCCCGACCATACCCTCACGGTTTTGTTTGGGGAACTCACACGAAAACTTCTCAGTAGGTCGCCCATCATGGGATTGCTTTCACGCGAACTCACTTAACTTCGGAGTTCCGATGGAACCCGAAGCTAGTGAGCCCCCAAAAAGCCTCGTGCTAGGTAAAGATGGGAATATACATATAAGGCTTACATGATCCACTCCCCTAGGCGATGTGGGATGTTACACAATAGATATAATGAATATGTATATATTGTTTATTAATTATTATTCTATATAAATTTTAAAATTTAAGTTTTATTTATTTATTTTTATAGTATATTATGGGCAAAGATTGAGATTAAAAATGTAACATCCCACATCGTCCAGGGGAGTGGATCCTGTAAGCCTTATATGTATATTCTCATCTCTACCTAGCACGAGGCATTTTGGGAGCTCATTGGCTTCGGGTTCTATCGGAACTCCGAAGTTAAGCGAAATCGCGCGAGTGCAATTCCCATGATGGGTGACCCACTAGAAAGTTCTCATGTGAGTTTCCAAAAACAAAATCGTGAGGGCGTGGTCGGGGCCCAAAGCAGACAATATCAAGCTACGGTGGAGTTGAGTCCGGGATGTGGTGCGGGCCCGGGCAGGGATGTGACAAAAATCATAAAACACATTAAAAATAAAAATATCAAGCAATTTAAAAATACTAAACACATTAAAAAAATTATAATAATTAATTTATATGTGCGAAAAATATGAAAAAAAAAATGCAAATGCTCGTAGGTATATGGTCGTTTGAATTTTTAAAACCATACAAACTCTCATGAATAGTATTTTTAAGGGAGTTCAAAATAAACAAAATTCATAATCATTAATGTATAAGTTTGAAAGATGTGAAAGCATAATAAACGTTCATAATTATACCTTCAACGCTTACATGATGGTTACATGGTCGTTTAAATTTTTAAAACCCTCCAAATCTCATGAACAATGTTTTTTATTTGAGTGCAAAATTAATAATAATTATTGTAGAATTGTGAAAAATGTAATCACTCGTAATGAAAAGCTTTACAACTTTCGTGAAGGGGTCAACTCCGACATTTAGTGTCTATATACTAATTTAGTATTATGTTTTACATTTTTTTTTGTCAAATTATGTTTTTCATTTTCATTTTTATTGATTTAAAATATATTTTTCTTAACAGGTAACAGGTAGGGTCATATTACCTAATAATATTAACGGGTTGATTTCGGGTTGGATCATATTACCCGTTTACTTTAACGGGAATTACACAACACAACCTATTAAGCTATTGGATATGACACGAACACAAGAAACATGACACGCATGTCAGATCTAGTAATTCTAATTTAATTAGGAGTGTGATTGTAAATCTTAGAAGATTACTAAATTGTATTTAGAATTGTGTACTAGGTCTAGCCTATTGGACGTTGTATTCCATGTACTGCAAGGAAGCATGTTATGTTTACTATAAATAAAAGCACAAAGCGATGAGAACATCAACATAGAAATTTCCCAACTCTCTTTTCACTCTCTCTGTGCCGCCCTTCTCCTTATTCCCTCAAAAAAAAAAAAAAAAAAAAAAGAGGCTTACAACATGTTATCAGAAAAATGTGTTGTAGATTTGGACAAGGATCTTTCATAACCAAGTTTACACCCTCATCTATTTCATTAATCAAGTACCTTCTAAAACACGGTTTTAATTTCAATATTTTAATCAGCCTTGATTGCGTGAAACATTCACCATGATGGATAAAACCTAGATCTTTTTTTTTCATGTCAATTGTTGTTCATATTTCTTCAATATTATGTTATATTATATTGTATTGCTATGATGAATTGATTGTGTGAGAACAAAGACAAAAAAATAAAAGCAAATTAGGGTTTTGCGCAACCCTGGCCCGTGCGAGCCATGATAAAGTCGTTTGCGCCTCGCCGCCAAGTAGCAAAACCCCAAAACCCTGGATCGAAAACACCACGGTTTCACTGGTGTCGTCCCTGTCCTTCGATCCCCACAGTCCTCACCATCTCTGGTGAGCTCTGCGTCTTCTCCAATAATATGCATTCGTCCTTCAAACTCGAGAAGGTGTTTCCATGATGGAAACACTTTCCAGATTCTTGATGAATCTCAACGAATGTTGAGCTTGGAACCTTTCTTTGACCTGCAGTCAAACCACCACGCCTGCAACTGTAGACCCCCTACCATCGTCTACCCCTTTGCAGGCCTCTGACAACCTGCACGTTGTTGATTTTAAAGCCACCACAGTGAAATTTCCCCCTTCCCGCCTAAGATCACCGCGCTAGCAGCAACGCCATTGGATTTCCTGACGAAACCGCCACCCATCTTTGCTGTGTTGATGTCGCCCGAACCAAGACCTTATGGGTAGGCCAGGCATTTTGGACCCAATCCGTTAACCCGACCCGACCCAACCCGTTAATATTTGTATTTGGGTGGATGCTTAACGGGATGGGTCGCTAATGGGTGAACCCGTTAACCCGTTAAATAACGGGTCACTTTGGGTCAACCCGTTAGACTCGTTAACACCCGTTAGCACCCGTTAGTTGATGATATTTTAGTAATTTTAGTAAAATCTTAATAACAAAAAATAAACTTTATGCAAAAAAAAAATAATAATAATAATTGTTAACGGGTGTTAACGGGTCGGGTTCGGGTGACCCGTTAGCTTAACAGGTTGGATTCGGATGACCCGTTAACTTAACGGGTCGGGGAACCCGACCCAAACCCAATAAACCCGACCCGTTTATAGGTCTACCTATGGGTGTCCTCTTTTATTCGGCCTGTAATCTTGAACTCAGGAAAAAAAAAACAATTCTTTTAGTAGCGCCAGCCACTCCAATAATTTTTTGGGCCCGCAACCCATCTTATATGTCGACCAAATATTTTATTCTTTATTTTTTGGGCCATGACGTGTATTAATAGTCCCGTAGATTACTCGCATTAGGGTCCCGAAGCCACCCAAATCCTCTACATTTGTTGTATTTTCTATATTGTATTTGCTTGTAGGTAGGCAATGAACCGGAAGTTCATTAAAATTGAACGCGAAGTTTCGAATGAGTCCCATTGAAACTGAAGGTTTCATGAACCAATACACCAATGAAAACATGAAGCTTTTTATGCTAAAATTAAACCAAACATGTAAAATAGAACACCGAATGTTCTACCTTTTGTTCTATGGATATTTCTTTTTCCATAGTACTAACCACAAACCTTAACAAACTCAACTTTACCGCTTTGGAATCTTCGGCAAAAACTAACTCAAATGGGTCCAAGATGTAAAGCTCCACCGTACTGCAAAGAGTCTTAAAGCTACCATTGAAGCTGAGGTAGAAAAACTGACTGGCGAAGCTAATAAAGCAACAACCATGATCTTCATTAGAAGACATATGCATGAAGCACTGCAAACCAAGTACCTCGCTGAAGAGAATCCACGAGCTAGATTTTTCGCACTTATGCATACTTGGGTGCACTGTTTATGTGCCAATAGAGCCGCAACTACATACCAAAAAGGATCTTAAAAAAAGAATGGGAATCTATGTCATTTATGATTTGTCTTCCATTATTCACTACTTAGAGCATTTAACATACGGTTTCTTTACTGATTGCTTTACTAATTATCACTTTGATGAGATAGTCTTCTTGTCGATAAGGGGAGATAAGAACGTCACAAATTGTCGTGGATGAACTCCACTATATCTCATCGCCGTGCAACACAATTTGGAACTAAAGTGCGACACATTTAGATCTTTAAACGTAGCTCAGAGCTTTGCCGGATGCGTTTACTAATCTAGCGAAAGTGACGAGATTACATATACCAGCAGCAAACACACCTGCAAGGATAAACTTGTCTCACGTGTGTAGAAACATCGTTGATAAGCTATCTTGGCCACACCTATAGTATAGCCAGGTACATTGGCGGCTAGCTAATCTTCTGCCTCTACTTGAAGCATGGTAGAACCGTAGGTTCGAAAAATTCACAACCACAGAAACGGTGAAACATGGCAGAGTCGAATCCTCCAATTACTAACTCATCCATTCCAACGCATGATATTATTCTAGATTATGAAAATGTCTTTGAAGAGTGTGCCTCTGGAGAATCATGAGATTTCAGCCAATTATGTTAGCTTGGATGTAGTCTGGAATCGTAATGAGATGATAGTGGACGATATATTCACATATGCAGTAGTTACTAATATCATGTTGCACGATGACATCGAACCTTATTTCATTGATGTATGTTAACCATGAACTGATCAGATTGATAACAAGCAATTCAGGTCTAACTTGATTCCTTAGTGAAACATAAAGTGTTTGGGTCTGTAGTTCATAGACCTCCAAATGTGAAGCCTTGGGTAACAAGTGGGTTTTTGTAAGGAACTATAATGAGAAAAATGAAATAGTGTGATATAAGGCACGCCTCATGGCCCAAGGCTTCTCTCAACGTCCTAAGATTGATTATGAGGAGATTTATTCTCCCGTAATGGACGTCGTTACATTCCGCTTCCTTTTTAGTTTGGTAGTTTCCGAAAAACTAAATATGCAGCTTACAGATGTGGTAACCGTGTATCTCTATGAGGATCTTGATACGGAAATCTATATGAAATTTTCTATATGACTAACATTGACTAGAACAAATAGTTCTAGACCATGAAACTGCTTCTCCATTAGATTGAGGCGTTCACTCTATGGATTGAAACAATCCGGACAGATGAGTGAGTATTTGATTGGTCAGGGATATGTGAATAATGAAATATTTTTATCAAGAAGTTGCATTCTAGATTTGCAATAGTTGCAGTTTATTTCGATGACATGAATCTCATTAGAACTCCCGAAGAGCTTGAGAAAACTGCCTCGCACTTGAAGTCAAAATTTGAGATGAAAGACCTTGGCAAAACTCAATATTGTCTCGGCCTAGAGCTCATGCATTGTTCATATGGTATTTTGGTCCACCAGTCGAACTACCGGTAGAAGGTGTTGTGTCGTTTAATGAAGATAAAGCGAACCTTCGAGTACTCCTATGGTCTTTCGAATGCTAGATGCTAAACAAGACTTTTTCTACCCTAAAGACGGTGAGGAAGCGATTTTAATTCCATATCTGAGTGCAATTAAGTTGTAAGCTCAATGTACTAGACCAGACATATCCTTCGCTAATAATTTTGTAGTAGGATATAGCAACATGCCAACATGCCAACACTAGAATGGTGTTAAAGACATCATTCATTACCTTAAAAGGTACTATGGATTTGGGCTTATTCTATCCCTATTCATCCTCGAGTGGAGATGTCGCCCCCTCAGTCCTCGAGTCGATTCTTGCCTTGTTACTAACGCAAGTTATTTATCTGACTCGCACAAGGCATGTTCTCAAACACGTTTTGTCTTTATCGTCGGAGACAACAATATCTCGAAAGAGTCAACCAAACTAACCTTAGTTGCAACTTCTTTTAACCATGCAGACTTTCTTCCATCGTTGACGTCCCTACAACATTATGAGGACAACGCCGCTTGTATCAACCAGATCAAGGATACATCAAAGGAGACAACACCAAGCATATTGCGCCGAATTCTTATTTTCACATCAGCAGCAAAAGCATCAGAAGATTGAAGTCAAGCAGACTCATTTTCAAACTACCTTGCTGATCTCTTGACGAAGTAATTGCTAAAGTCCACCTTTCATAAGCTTGTTCAAGGAATTAGCATGTGTAAATTTTCATATAACGTTTGTAGTTCTCATTGGGAGAGTTTTGTCAAACTCAAAGAGAGTATCCTAAAGTATACCCATTTAAACTTTGTATTCCTTGTAGAGCAAGGAAGCCCGCTATATTTACAATAAATAAAGGCACAATATGGTGAGAAACATCACCACAGAAATTCCCCAACTCTTTTTTCTCTTTTTCTCCATGTTAAGCACCTTCTTCCAATTCCCTCACTAAAATAGGCTACAATAGATACTAAAAAAAAGGTTGAAACTTGCTTTTGTATATTCACTTATGTACAGATTGGTGAGGACACTCCGTATTTGAAAAAGAATTGACATAGGATTTGGAGCTCAAGTGATCAAAGAAATTTACTAATGAACCCGAGATCCTACGCTGCCGCTTGCATAAAAGAAATAAACATAAAAAAGAGAATTCGGTTGTGGGCTGGGAGTGCTAATCCAGGCTTTAAATCACAAAGGTCTTATGGATCTAGGAAATCCAACGGCTAATTCAGGCCTATAAACCAGAAAAATAAATACATAAGCAAATTCAAATATGCATAAGAACCATTCCATTATCTAGCATTTTACATGCACCATTAAATTCTCAAAAGCTCAGAAATATATTCGTACTCACTTTATTACCAAAGCAACAAAATTTCGTGGATGCAGACAGAGACACTCCATCTAGCTCCCATCCCCTACCCTAACCGAAGAACACCGATACAAAACTCGTAGCAACCGGGACTCGAGTACAAGAGTGAGCCTCTGTTAGGAAGTTATTTCGACGAAAAGAGAGTAACAGAGAGAGAGAGAGAGAGAGAGAGAGAGAGAGAGAGGGAGGGAGGGAGAGATCATAAGGCAATAGTAGTTATAAGAAATGCCAGTACCATGTATATATATATACCCATGCCACCATCTATTCTAATATGCCCCTTCCAATCCTCTTCTTTGTTTGTATTCCTCGTGCTATCTCGCCATTCACAGAGAGTTTTCACTACTAAGATCGGGATCCCTCAAGCCCCAAACTTGCAGTTAGCCAAGTACAGACGTCATCGGTCTCTTCAGGGATTGTGTAGTGACCCAGCCTGCATTGCCAAACTAAGCATTCACGAAACTGATACTGAAAAGACCAAACCTATACAAATCGTTGATGATAGGCAGAATGACTTACCCATTGTATTTTCTAAACACAAGGTTTCTAAATCCTGCTGAACTCAAGGTCTGCGCAGATTTCTCTCCGTGTGCATATGCAACCTCGTCATCACCTGCGATGAAGAATTAAGGCTTCCGAGGGGGTTCCAATTTTAACAAAGCAAAACAAGCGAGCAACTGGAAACTTACAAATTCTTCAATAGTTACTTATGGGAAGGGGAGGTAGGGGAAGACCGGAAGAGAGATTATGCCAAAGAACTGAAGCTGTACTACCAAATATGAGAAGAACGTGATTACCTAAGCCATGACATAGCAAAATGGGCAATGATGCTGCATGCCTTGCAGCCTCGTGCGACCTTTCCATCTGATTCCTCAAAGTTCTGCCATAAATTAAAAGATGGATGAACTGATTGCTTATTAACTAAATGTCAGTGCACACACGAAAAAAGCTGAACCTTGAACACGGAAGCCAGCCACTTAAACCAACAATTGCACTTAGGTTAATTGGGTATGGGTTTCCATTCCCATATTGCCCTAAAACACGGCATGTAGCAGAGTAGAGGGCAGTTGCAGCACCCATACTGAAGCCCCCAACACCAAGTTTTACTGTTCATGATAGTAAAAAGAAACATGAGTTATACAACGCATTTGTAACTCCAACCAGAAAAAATTACCTCAAGACACATCATTTTAAACGATCATTTTATAAGAATGTCCAACAAACATCAGTAGTTATTCTCCTCATAGATCTTGTTGTAATAACTGCTAAAAAACCAACTTCCTCCAGTTCTAGTTCTTGGTTAACTATTACCATATTATTGATTGCATAAATCTCCCGAGAACAACCTTGAAACAATAAGGTTATCAATATTTCAGTAGCAGAGGTGAAGATCAAGTGAGCATGCAAATTAATTGGTAAAAATCAATTATGCATTGAACTTGTTCCATGGTGGAAACAAAATTTAATAAACCCGATAGGGAAATAAAAGAGATAATAGGGAGAACTGAGCAGTATAAACTTTTTCTCAGGTAAGTCATGATTCATTAGATATGTATGAACAAGAAGTCAAATAAGTTTCCTATAGATCAGTAGAGGATGTAATTTATAGAGAAATTTGACTATTTTAGTCTATATTGCAATTTTGAAGAAGGGAAAATAGCTTGAATCCAGAGGACAGTTTCCCAAAACCCCGAATTTTACATTTTGTTCTTTTAAGTCTACCAAGATATATAATCGGTCCAATTATCTTATGTTAAATCCTTTAACTGTACATGTTTCTAACAACTATAACTAGATACTAGAGTTTTACAAGCTTTCAAGAGAAGAACTTACTATTAGCAGGCTCTGTTGACAAAAGGTTTGCGACATGCGCTGCTGAGGCATCTAACCCCTCGATATCATCAGGAGCATCTTCTGAAATCTCTCCCATGTCAAACCCTGTAATAAATCACCCCAACGCTTTAGAATATGTGTTAAACATACAATATTAAAAGAAATAAATAAGAAATAAACTGCTATCTTCCTAGTTAATGGATAACTCGTTATTTTGGGCAATCAATGTCCATGCGATAAAGCTCAACGCCAACCTAGAACTTGATGGTGGGTTTCAGAAAGAAGATAAATACAGAAACTAAAACAATCAATCTTACAGGCAGTACAAGGAAATCCGCCAAATAGAGCCACAGGTCGAGAAGGAGCAGTAGGGCAAATCCACTTAATCTGTATAATAAGTTCAACAGAAACAGATAATAAATTCTATTAACCAAACTTGGCAGTATATTCTCTAATAAAAGAAGGTTTAAGGCTGCTGGTGATGAATGCTGCATAATGGTACAACGAAACTTAAAAGTTACCACCCTTACATTAGGAAGAGGAAGGCTTTCCAAGAGCTGGGACCAGCTGCAAAACAAAGCACAAAGTGGGAAAATCCAGCTGAGTCACTACTCTTGCTAACCAAAATCGTCAAATGAGCAAAAAGGGAGTTGGAATAACATAATATTTTTGAGTCCAATAGCGGCGAAGGTTGGTGGCACACTTCAAGCTTGAAATCATTACAATACAAATTAAGAAACACTTCTTAAAATCATATAAGATATAATTTAGGGAGCACAAACAACCAAATAGCATAAAACTAATCAATAATTGTAGAATTCTGATGCTTTCCAATGTCTTAGCTCCAAATGGTTCCAACATCCTTCGTTAAAACAAATATTTGAAATTAATTAGTCCTGAATTAGTACTATGTAGTTATTAATTAGTATATTTCAACTTGATTAGCAGCTTAGAGGGAAACTAAGCTATTGAAAAAGTGGTCCCCTATTCTAGGCATTGCTATATTCAAATACTTGATTAAAAACTTCACCATCAGGACTTAGAATGAAACGAAAAGGAAGAAAAAGACAACTAATCACATTGTACTCGGGATTCAATTAGAAACAGAATCTTCTACAGAGTTCAAGGAATTAGTTAAATAACAGACTCTTCCCGATCAGGACAAAGACATTGACATTCTCCGATTTCCCCCGTTTGTCCTTTACGTGGAACAAACCATCCTCTTACAAGCATATGCTCATTTAAAAGAAAAAGGAATCACACTCACACCAAGTGCTTCATATAAAGGAAGGAATATCAGGTTCATACAGATGACTATAAAACTCCAAATTCTTCATATCATAACTATTGATCCATGCACGCCTGCAATCAATGACGAGCTATAATTTAATCATGCATAGGAACTTCAGTTCCACTGATGAGTTTGCATACATGGATTAGACACAAGGATAAATTGTACCAAAGCGCAAATATCGTTTTCAAATCACAATAGAACATATGAGAGTCTGCAAAAGAATAGCATTAGTACCTTGAGCCCTTATCACCAAGGCCATGCAGCCAAACTATTGTAGCTTGATGTCTCCCTTTAGGCCTGACCACATGGGTCCTTCCGAACTCAAACGCCCTGCTAGCAGTTCTACTAGCTGACATATTAAAACAGAAAATTCTCAAAACACAGAACCAGCAGGCCTAATGATCAAGATATCGGCAAGAACCAAGATAAATGATATAGACAAAAATGACAAACAACTTTACTCCATATTCCATATAGACACCATCACAGGAAAATAACTAACCAGAACCAGCGTTGGAGCTATTGTAGCTCATCCTCGCCCCCGAAATACACACGAAATGCGCAAACCTATGCTGACTTCCTGCAATGGAGAAAAGCCAATGTCGGTCATATCTATTTATACCCATGAAAGGGGGTGAAAATGTAATAAAACCCTTGAATCTGCATAAAACAAGTTTAAACGGTGGTTCTAATAAACAATATCAGAAAGGGAAAGGCATCCAGAAAAGAAGACAGGAAAAGCTAGGAGGCTTTATGAACACATAAATGCAGAAAATGAACTATCAAACTATCAAAGTCTTTGAGTTTGCAATGCTCATTGCTCACAGAGATTGAAAGCAAAGAATCTAATGCTAGTGGACAGCAGGCAAAGTAAAGCACTTCCAACTACAGCAACCCAAGAATACAAAACCACAAATGACATTTCTTTCTGAAATAAGTTTCATTTTTTTCTCCAAAATAAATTTAAAAAATGACATCTTGAAAGATACCCATTAAACAAAAATAGAAGTTTGAAAAGTTTCACTTGTTGAATGAGGTAATGAAATTGCAGGTGCATAAAAAGATCTGAGAAATATATATATATATATATATATATATATATTGTTAATAAATATTGCAGGTGAGAAAGAGAAGTGGGGTTTAAGCTTTAATTTAGTACCAACCTGGTTCCCAAAACTTTGCTTTTCTTTGCTTCCCACAACTCTCTCTCTCTCTCTCTCTCTCTCTCTCAGTCTCTATTCACACTCCTTTTCTTTTTGTTTGTTCACACAAAATCAATCGTACCTCAAAAATACAATGTCTGAAAACTACTCATTTACTTTACAGGTTTTTGCCAAATGCCCAGACCAAATGCCCTTCCCATGCCCCACTTGTTTTAAATTTACCAAAGTTTTCTTCTTTTTTGTAAGTTTTTCAAATATACTGCTAGAAAGATGAAAAAGCAACTGACTTTTACACTCATGTTTATCACCTTACATTTTCTCTTGTTTCTATTCATAAGGTGGAAAATACAAAGATTCCATATCGAAAAATTGAAATTCAATATGACATGTATCAAGTGATTCTACTTCTACTTACTATAAAATTTACACATTTCGTAATGTGTAGGTGGTAAATGAAATTTAGAGATAATATTCATGTAGTGAGTCGATTCTCAATTTCTTTAAAATCTGGACAAAGAGAAAAATAAGACCGCATACTCGAATAAGAGAACAATGCCAAGTTTGGTCAACCAGGACCAAGCCCAATGTGATAGTTCATGTTAATTTTCAAAAATAAAATTGGATTCCCTTCTATAATAATTTGATTATACTTGGCATTACAAGTAATATTCTACAATAAGGAAAGGGTAATGTTTCAATCCAAGATGAAATAGATTGAAGAGGAAGACTCTAATCTGGAACGCAGTGAATTGATTTTTAAACCTTAATAGAGATGGTACTGAGATGCTAAACTCTAAATCGGTAAATCCCATCTTTTCCAGAACTTTAAACTCCACATACCTCAATGGAGATTGGACATGCTTGCTTCCTGGATTTGGTCATTGAGTTGAACATGGTCTATTTCACTTTTTTTTAAATAAACGATATTATCTACACTAACAAGGTGGGGGCATGCGCTAAGCCTCACAATGAGCTAGTAATAATGTGATTCAAATTCACCTTTGACGATAATCAAACCTAAGACTTTTTACTTATAAGTAGAGAAAAATATTATTAGATCATGGTGCTAATAACTCAATGACTTAAAACATAAATAAGTGCAAATTCAGCAAATAAGTACTTTATGAACTATAGAATAATGTTTGGAACTTTGGATGAGGGGTTTCCAAGTATCAAGAGATTTAGGTTAAATTAGTTAAATACGTTACAAAATATTAGATAAGGACATTAAAAATGCACTACATAAACATCACAAATCTACAAAACAAAGAATTTTCAAATGACTCCTTACAAGAAGTCATGTACGAATCCGTAAGTATTTAAAACTCCCTCCACATACATTGCATGGGTAGACATCTCAATTAAAATCTCTGTCTTCCATTTTTTTTATTAAGATTCTTCATCTTTTCTGCCTTTTTTGCGTGTGTAAATTCACCTAGTATCCTTGAGTTTGTTCCACAGATGGCATACTTGTTTACCACAAGAAAATTGGCACTCCATCTGTCGCGATATAGGTGATGCCAACTCTCTCACATTTGTGAAGATGCTCGTCTAACGTAGGTAGCTTGGCATTGTAAAACGCGTTCCAATTACTAACATATTTCATCATGCTACTTGTGCTAAACCTCATGACCATGCATTTTATTTTTCTTGATATCCAGTACAAAAATCTATCACATATTACCTATAATTCTTACATTTAGTGGTATTTCCATGTTGGTTTGCTAAGCTCCAACTTTTCTTGTGGTTACATTGAAAGCCATGTAGGGACCAGAATGGTCCTAGGCCTACCCTAACATTTTCTTCACACAAGAAAAAAAAATATAATTATGCCTCTGATTTTCAAAGATTTTTCAGGATATTAGGGTCCCAACCAGAATCTTTTCTTTATTTCCTTCACTAGGTTCGATTTAAGGTTGGTGGTTGTTTGGGGGACTCAGGTGATCAAAAGAAGGAGAGATAGAAAGTAGGCAAGAGACCTTCCTTCATTCATCCACTTAAAAGGACTTTTATTTTGAATTTGAGTTGTGATGCTAGGCATGGGAGTTGAGTTGAGGAAGAGGATGACACGATCAACGTCATACCAAACCCAAATGATGGTGGTTGGTAGCTCAAGACACGACATATCTTTATTTTTCTTAAATCAGAGAAGCATTTTAGGCTGGAACTTTTAGACCTCTCCTGATTTAAAATTTTGACTCCTCCCCTAACTCAGTTACTGATCTCACCTACTCTCCCTTGCCACTTGGGCTAACCCAGGCATATTTTCTTAAACGTTGAAAATGAAATAAAGAGGATTTGTTTGCTAAGATGGAACAAACATTGGTGGCTTTTCCAAATTAGCGTCTTAGGTGTGATGTACATGTCTTCATCATCCAGCTAAATTTACATGTCTATTAGGAATTTAGGACGAAAAAAAAGTCCTAAAGTTTTAGTGCTTTGTTTTATGTGACTTTTAGGTTGTCCCTTTTAAGTTGTCAACTATCACACCTATTCAAAACAGAATCATAGTTATTTTATTTGTGCAAGAAACTTTGGTTTGCACACAAAAGTGAAACTCGTAATCTTCTTTGCCTTTCGAATAATCATGGGATGGGACTTTCTAGCCTTATTTAACGTATAAATCACATATTCTCATCCATCAAAGTGGAGATCTAAATGTTACGAAATCATACGGTAAAGATAAATATGATTTGACCATAGTATTCTGATTGATTTTTTTTTATTCCTTTTGGACTTTGATGCCAAATTAAAAGCATAATATGATTGTTGATAGTTTGGCATCAAAGTCTCAACACTTCAATATTGTAACAAAAATACCAAATTAATGCCTAAGAATGGCTCAAAATGGAGATTAGACTAAAGTTAATGATGCCTTTGGAATAATATTTTCGCGTTGTCGGGAATTTTTCTGAATTTTTATATGATTAACACATTCCAAGTGTTCTCCACTCTGCAGGTTCCAAGGCCTTGCTAATTATTTTGGTTTCCTTTATAATATTTGGGTTCAAATTCATTTGCTAAATGCTAGGTTGTGACAGCTATCATGTATATGTAATATTATATAGGCTTTTTAACCATTTTGATCTCTGAAATTTGCATATCTCCTCACTTTGATCTATGAGATTTGAAATCAATAGAAGTGGTTGCTGAGATTATCCACCATCAATCATTTTGGTCATTTCGTGAAAAATTATGTTAAATAAAGATCAAAATGACAAAAATACCCTTAATCTAATAAACAATAGGCCAAATGATTTGACAAAAATTGAGGGTATTTTTGTCATTATTTGCTTATTTAATGGAGTTTTTTTACGGAATGACCAAAATGATTGATAGTGGACAAACTCAGGGACCAATTCTATTGATTTCAAATCTCAAGGACCAAAGTGAGGAGTTATGCAAATCTCAGAGACCATTTTGGCTAAAAAGCCTATTATATATATAGAAGCAAGTTTCAATGTGGTTTGTTGCATGTTGTTAGAATTCCTCTGTCCCACATCAGTCAGAAGGCTTCAGAACAAGCCTTTTAAATAGAATTACTCCACTTTAACTAACGTCGAGACCTTTTGTGATAAAACCCCACACCTGATGCGCGTGGCCAATGGGGACCCACCCATTCACGTGGCATCTCTTGGCCTACATGGAGCCAAGTCGGGGCTCACCCATTCACCAGAGGTCAAAGGGAACTCACTCGTTCATGTGGCAGTATAGGTCCGTCCCCTGGTTCATGTGGCAGTACGGGCCCGTCCCCTGACTTTGATACCATTTTAAATTTCAGGTAGACGGGCCATGGGCCCACTCCAACAACACCGATATTGTCCCCACTTGGCCACCTACTTAATTCATTAGGTGTGAGGTTTTATCACAAAAGGCATCGGTGTTAGTTAGAGTGGGATAATTCTATTTAAAAGGTTTGTTCTCAAGCCTTCTGATCGATGTGGGACAGATGAATTCTAATACATGTGGTCCAACATCCTAGTTGATCTTGTTTTGAGTTTCTACGCATGAGTCGCGGTTTTGAAACTCTCCCTTCTCCTAAACTATTGTAATAGTTTCAAACCTTCCACATCCCCTTCATAAAAATTAATTTTAAAAAAAATGTGGTTTGTTGAATAGGTTCCCCAAGTACTCTTGTCTTGTGAGATAAGGCTTCAAATGTTTTCAGTACAAAATCAACTTTATGTTTTATGAAGTAGGATTATCTCCCCTCCTATTCTCACATCATGAGTAAGTTGGTGTTCAGTGCACCTGTTAAAGACCTTAAGACTTTTTTTTTTCTTTTCTCACTCTCAATATATACTATTAGATTGCGTCCAACCACCCGATCGATGAAGACTTGAACCTAACCACCTGGGATGACAGAGACTTTATTCGACGTCTTGGTAAAAATCCCATGTTTTCAACACCATGGATATTAGAAAGTGAAGAAGTCAAATCTTCTCTTGCAGGGAAAAAATTCTACTCTAAGAATCCTACCCTTGGAGTTGCGAGCTTGGCCCCTCTCGTCTCACATTTTGAGTTTTGTCTTATTATTTTTATGAAAAAATCAATATAAATGTTGATGTGGCTTAACCGTAACCGTTCAAGTATGAGAGGAGGGAAGGGAAGAGAGATTAGAAGGGGAGAGAATCCTACTCCATGTTTTATAGCGAGGGGTTATGCTGTTGGGCCTGGTGGGGCGAAGTAATCCCTCACGAGTCATGAGCAGCTCGGCATATTGTTTTGTTTGTTTATTTTTGGAGACCCAGCAGTGCTGTGAACTTGGTTGGGTCACCTAACTTGGGTGGCTGGATTGGAAGACGAGCTCTAATATTTTGGCATGGAAAGGGATCCTCTTTGGATCATTTCCTCCTAATCCACCAAATTGAGGAATCTGTGTCATTGAAATTTGATTCAACGGGCATGGATTTCCTGATTTGGTAGATTAGGAGGAAGGGATCCGGAAGGAG